GGGAAGGGCCACCCTGGCATGGGGGACCTGGGCCTTAGGCCAGTCTGTAGGGGTCCCTGACATGGGCACTGTCAGCAAAGGGCCACACAGGGAGCAAAACCTCCTAGCCAGCACCCCCCCCACAGCCCGTCAACCTCTGACCACGGACCCTTGACGCTCTGTTGGAGACTGGGGTTTGGGTTTGGGGGCATCTTTCTTGCAAACCCCACCGGCAGGCTGTGTGGGACCCAGGGCCATCTCCTCCTCCACGGGAGGGGCCCAGCGGGCCCAGCACAAAGACTCCCAAGGGCACGGAGGGGGAGGGAGTGGCTGCAGGTGGCCGGGCCCCTCAGCTAGTCTCCTTCCCACCTCCTCCCGCCTTCCGGGCCCGGACAGGGTGGAGCTGAAGCCCTATAAATACAGGAGGCCTGGTGGCCGCACAGAAGACTGCAGCCCAGGCAGCACCAGAGGGTGGCTCCGGCCCCTCGGAGGGTCAGGCTCCCAGCATGGCCCGCTCTGCCTGGGCTGTCTGCTGCCTCCTGGGGCACCTCCTGCTCTGCCTCTGCAGGGGCAGCCCTGGCCCCAGCGTGCCCCGCCTGAGACTCTCCTACCAAGGTACTGGGGGGTGGGGGGTGCCCAGGACCTCAGCTCTGGGGGCGGTGTCTGCTACCGGAGGGGCTGGCATCACTCCCTGGGCCGCCCCAGGGAGGAGCTCATGGTCAGGGTCGGATGCTCCTGCAACGGGGTCAGGGGCTGGGAGGAGGGCTTGGGGCAGGGACTGGTCTTGGGGGTGCCATGACCAGGGTGGGGTTTTGGAATGAAGCTGGGTTGCAGGAAAAACCCAAGGGGGCTGCTGAGGATGGGCGGGGACAGATGGAGACCAGAGAGATGGGGGCAGAGGGAGCAGATGGGGCAGAGGTGGGCAGGGGACAGAGAGGGAAGGGCGGGTCTGCAGGTCTCGGGGCTGAGCCTGGTGAGCGTGGTGTCCCTCAGGCCCTGAAGCCACAGGTCAGAGAGGAGTCTAAGGTACCTACGGGGTGTCCTGGTCCTGTGTTTGTAGCCCTGCCCCCCTCACTCCCCCGTGCTTCCATCACACCTCCCAGCGTTAGCTGCCCCACTCTCGTCCCCATCCTGGCAGCAGTCCGGCGTTCGAACCCCTCAGCTTCTCTGTGGGGCAAAGATGTGTGAGCTGCCGGCTCCCATGAAGGGTCACCATCTCAGAAACCCATGGGGGTGGGAATCCACGGGTGTCAGGGGTTGGTGGGGTTTGGTTCTCCATCCTGGAAGGTCTTCAAAGCCCAGCAAAGATTCTAATCTTGCCTTTTTGCTCCTCCGGCCCAGGAAGTTCCTCTGCAGGTCTAACCGCCAACACAAGCCTCTGAGTCTGTGGGGATGGGCCGTGGGGAAAGGTCCGCAAGACCTAGGCTCTGGAAGGTTCTTCCTGGGGAAGCCAGAGGGGTGACTGTGTCCCCCTGGGAACCCCAGCCAGGGAAGGAACACAGCTTGCCCTGGGAAATCTGCTTGGGGAGGCCCGCTTCTCCCTGAAGGTTGAGGAGACGTGTGGTCCTGCCGGGGAGCAGGGGTGTGGCCAGACCACTGGAAGGAAAATTTTACTTGGGAAAACCGCCCCCCACCCTCACTCCCCTCCAAAGTGCTGTCAACCACAGAGGGCTTCCTGGAGGGGCCACTAACGAGTTGTGGGGCCGGATAGGAGGACAGGCTACTGTCCCTCAGGCCTGCTGCCTGTCCCTGTGTCTGCCTGTCACCCACAACTAACGCCCCAGTGAGAGTTGGGGGACCCTGCCAGGATCTGGACTGCCGGCTCCCAGTCTGGGCCCTCCACACCCCTGCCCGGCACTCGCAGTCCAGCCCGGTCCCCCGCCTGCTCTCTGCTGGCTGCTGCTGCCATTCTGCCAGTGGGTGGGGGTGTGCGTGGGGGTTGGGAAGGCGATGTTGTCTGAGGGGGGAGGGTGGGGACCCATCCTGCGGGGGGCTCAGTGCCCCCTGCTCCCCAGGAGTCAACTCCCTGAGGCCCCGCCGCTGCCCTGCGGGTGGAAACGTGTTTCAGCTGTGTCTCCGTGTGTGTGTGTGTGTGTGTGTGTGAGTGTGCCTGTGTGTATGCGTGTGTATATGGTGTGTATGTGTTTATCTGAGTGTGTGGGGATGCACATGTGTGTGTGTGTGTGTGTGTGCTGTATGTGTGAGTGTGCCTGTGTGTATGCGTGTGTATATGGTGTGTATGTGTTTATCTGAATGTGTGGGGATGCACATGTGTGTGTGCGCGCGCGCGCGTATGTATGTGTGCTAGGATGTGGCTGGGCGGCGGGGTGGGGGTGGGGGGCCGGGGACCACCGCGTGGCTGGAGCCTCCACTCCCATCTCCATCTCCTCCACCCCCGGCTGGGGCAGTGCGCTCGGCAGGTGCCCTGACCCCCAGTCTGCCCTCCTGCAGACCTCCTGACCACCAACCGCTCCTCGCTCTTCCTGGGCCCCCGAGGCTCGCTGGACCTGCGGGCCATGTACCTGGACGAGTACCGGGACCGCCTCTTCCTGGGGGGCCGCGATGCCCTCTACTCTCTGCGGCTGGACCAGGCATGGCCAGACCCTCGGGAGGTGAGCCTGGTGGGCCAGGAGGGTGTAGGAGGGAGGGGAAGGGTCTGGGCGCCTCACAGTAGGAGTCTCCATGGGGAAACTGAGGGTGTGAGGGCGGGCGAGCTCCCTGGGGCCAGCCAGCTGCGTTTCAGGTTCTGTGGCCGCCGCAGCCTGGACAGAGGGAAGAGTGTGTCCGCAAGGGAAGGGACCCCTTGGTGAGTGCTGGTGGGGTGCCGGGGCCCTGGGGTGTCCTGCTGGGGCGCTGGGGACAGATCCTGGGGAGTGGGGAGGTTGGTAAGGATGACCCCCCCACCCTTCCCTAAGACCAGAGCCAGGCTGGGCTGAGGTTGGGGCCCGGGCAGACCGTGGGCCCCCTCCTCAGCCTCCTGCCCTCTCCCGTCCTGGCAGACGGACTGTGCCAACTTTGTGCGGGTGCTGAAGCCCCACAACCGCACCCACCTGCTGGCCTGCGGCACCGGGGCCTTCCAGCCCGTCTGCACCCTCATCGCCGTTGGGCACCGTGGGGAGGTGAGTGGGGGGCGGGGGAAAGACTGCCCCCCCCCCCCCCCAAGCCTGAATGCTTCCCACTGAGCACAGGGTCAAAGGGCTCTGGCAGGGCCAGATGGGGGCAGGGCCCTGAAAGGCGCCTTTGTGCCAGGAACCAACCTTCAAGGCCTGGAATGCGGGCGCCGCCTGCCCCCGCCTCCCGCCCCTGCTGCACGCGAAGCCAGGCTCTGGGGCGTCTGTGGGGGGGCTCTTCCCAGGTGTCAGTGCCCCCCCTCTGCCCCCAGCACATCCTCCGCCTGGAGCCTGACACTGTGCAAGGTGGGCGGGGCCGGTGCCCACACGAGCCCAGCAGGGCCTTCGCCAGCACCTTCGTAGGTGGGTGACACCCGATGGTGGGCACAGGGCAGGCGGGCACAGCCTGGGGTGTCCTTCCCGCCTGACTCTGCCCCGTGGCCGCAGACGGCGAGCTGTACACGGGCCTGGTTGCCGACTTCCTGGGTCGAGAGGCCATGATCTTCCGCAGTGGGGGTGCCCGGCCGGCCCTGCGCTCAGGCTCCGACCTCCTGCACGGTGAGCCCGGGGACTGGCCCGTCCTTCCTGTGGCCTCCAGCCCGCAGTGGGGGCCCCCCCTTCGCCCCCGCCGTTCTCCACGTGGCTCCTCCCCAGCCCCGCTCTGTTGCCCTGGCAGAGCCCCAGTTTGTGGCGGCAGCCAGGGTCCCCGATGGCTCGGACCGGGCGGACGACAAAGTCTACTTCTTCTTCTCGGAGACGGAGCCCTCACCGGACGGCGGGTTGGGCCGCGTCACCGTCAGCCGCGTGGGCCGGGTCTGCGTGGTGAGGGCCGGGGAGGGGCCGGCCCACATGGGCAGCGGTGGGGGAGCCTGCGCGTACCCCTCTGTCCCCCCGAGTGCCCACCGCCCGCCCGCCTCTCCCCCACGCAGAACGACGCGGGTGGGCAGCGGGTGCTGGTCAACAAGTGGAGCACCTTCCTCAAGGCCAGGCTGGTGTGCTCCGTGCCGGGCCTCGGGGGCGCCGAGACCCACTTCCACCAGCTGGGTAAGGGGGCCCAGCAGGGCTGGGCAGAAGAAGGAGGGCCTGCGGGGCGTGGGGGAGGCCTGATGCCCCCGTGTCCCCATGTCCCCCAGAGGATGTGTTCCTGCTCTGGCCCAAGTCGGGGAGGGGCCCCGAGGTGTACGCTCTGTTCAGCACGGTCAGGTGAGCCGCTTCACCCCCCCACCCCACCCCGCACTGCAACCCGGACCCCGCCTGAGCCTCCGCCCGCTTGTCCCTGTCCATCTCGGGCTCCGACTGGGTGGTTCCTCACGCTGCTGGCCCAGGACATTGTTGCCCCGACCCGCCAGCCCAGCCTAACTGCCCTCACGGTCCCCGCAGCGCTGTCTTCCAGGGCTCCGCCGTCTGTGTGTACCGCATGGCTGACATCTGGGAGGTCTTCAACGGGCCCTTTGCACACCGAGACAGTCCCCAGCACCCATGGGGGCCCTACTTGGGAAAGGTGCCCTTTCCCCGTCCGGGCGTGGTGAGTCTGCAGCGCCACCTGGGGTGGGGACTGGGCAGACGCCAGGCTGGAAGAGCCGGTGTCCTGTGAGCAGGGTTTGCGCGGAGAAAGCTCTGTGCCCGTACCGGGTCCCCCGCAGGCCAGCGGTGATGGGGGCGAGGGCCCAGGTGCTCAGCGGGGGTCCCGCCTCCTCCCGTAGTGCCCCAGCAAGGTGACAGCGCAGCCGGGCCGGCCGTCTGGCAGCACCAAGGACTACCCGGACGATGTGCTGCAGTTCGCCAGGGCCCACCCACTCATGTTCCAGCCCGTGAGGCCCCGGCACGGCCGCCCCCTCCTCGTCAAGACCCACCTGGCCCAGCAGCTGCGCCAGGTGGTGGTGGACCGCGTGGACGCAGAGGATGGGGCCTACGACGTCATCTTCCTGGGCACTGGTGGGTGGGCCGGCCGGTGGGGGGGAGGTGTCGGGCTGCCCTCTCTCTCCCTCCGACCCCTGACCCCTCTCCCCAACCCAGACTCCGGCTCTGTGCTCAAGGTCATCGCCCTGCACTCAGAGGGCGTGGCCCAGCCCGAGGAGGTGGTGCTGGAGGAGCTGCAGGTGTTCAAGGTGAGCATCCCTGGGACCCTGGGCTTGACCGACGACGCCGGCCACGGGCGCTGCTCTGGGCGAGGTCTGCGGTCTCGGACTGTGGGCCTGGGCGGGAAGTCTGTGAACACCCCTCAGATCCCAGTGGGGCATCCGTGGCTGAGTCCCCCAAGTCCTCAGGGACAGGGCATCTGAGTCTGGAGGGTTAGAACCGCCCGGTGCATGGTGAGCCACCTGTTGTGCTGCCAAGCCCCAGGCCGGCGGTTCAAAACCACCCGCCGCTCCGCAGGAGAGTGAGCAGGCTTGTCTAGTCCGGTCCAGAGCAACAGTGTCAGAACTCCCCGGCGCAGAGCTGCCCTGTCCTGTGGGGTGGCTGTGGGTCGGCCTAGACGCATGGCCGGGGGTGAGTGCCCCCACCACCGGGGGACCGCTGAGGGAGCTGGTGCTTTGTGCCCCGCCGCCTCCTGGGGTCGGTGGGGGTGGGGGGAGGAGCTTCCTCGTCAGCCCCACATCTGGGGCCTGCAGTTTGCTGTTGTGTGACCCACCAGACCGGGAGCTGGGAAGCTCTCCCAACTGGAGAGGGCCCCCACCCCACCCCATGCTAAGACCCTGCCCCCCCACCCCAGGTGCCAACACCCATCATTGAGATGCAGCTCTCCGTCAAGAGGGTAAGAACAGGGTGACACTCCCCCCCGCCCCCGCCCCCTCCGCACCCGTCCCCTCCCCGCCCTGCCCCCTCCGCACCCCTGTCCCCTCCCCGCCCTGTCCCCTCCCCGCCCTGTCTCCTCCCTACCCTTGCCTCTGTCCCACCCCTGCCCCCTCCCGACCCCTGCCTCTGTCCCACCCCTGCCCCCTCAGCACCTGCTTGAACCTGCTTCTGTCCTGGGGCTGCTCCTCTTGCTCTGTGCAGCGAAGGCCCAGAGGCTCCGCATGTGCGCGCACACACGTGTGTGTATGTGTGGTGTTTGTATGTGTGTGGTATGTGCGGTGTGTGCCTGTGTGGGGTGTGTGTGCATGGTGTGTGTATGCATATGTGGTGTGTGTATGTGTGTGGTGTGTGTGTGTACCTGTGCACGTGTGTGTCAGACGAGGGGAGGAGAGGCTATGTGTAAGCCAGCACCCCCCTCTCACCTGGGGAGGCAGCACCATGCCAGACAACAAAATTTGATTTTGAATCATATTGGGGAGCTGGCTCTTTGAGGTGTCCCCTGTCGCCTGAATTGAGGGGCAAGGACGGTCTCCCCGAGTTTACCCACTCGGCTTGTCTCTGGGCAGACCCATGTCTGAGCTTCGAGCAGGCAGCTCCTGCGAGGGAGAACAAAGGTGGCCTCCATGCCCAAGGGTGGGCGGGGCGGGCCCGGAGGACAGACAGACACCCAGGGTGCCTCGTCCCTTCTGGGGAGTCCCCTCAAGGGGACACACGTGTGTCAGTTCTGTGACTGAGTTTCAGAGGCTCGTTCTGCAGGGAGCAGAGGCCTCAGAAACACCAGGGGGCCAGGGGCCTCTGGGTGCAGCCCGGGCCCCCCACACGCTCCCTGTGTCCCCACAGCAAATGCTGTACGTGGGCTCACCGCTGGGCGTGGCCCAGCTGCGGCTGCACCAGTGCCAGACCTACGGCAGTGCCTGTGCCGAGTGCTGCCTGGCCCGGGACCCCTACTGCGCCTGGGATGGCACCTCCTGCACCCGCTACCGGCCTGGCACCAGCACCGGCAAACGCCGGTTCCGCAGGCAGGACATTCGGCATGGCAACCCTGCCCTTCAGTGCCTGGGCCAGGGCCCAGAGGGTGAGTGGCCCTGCTGGCCTGGGCCATGCTGCGGTAGTGACCAGTCCTTGGTTGCCCTCTCTGGGCAGCTGCGGCCAGTGCGTGGGTGAAGGGTGTCCGCACAGAGTGAGTGGCTTGGGGACCCGGTGGATGCCAAGGTCCCAGCCACACTGAGTGGTGGGAGCCGTGTGTGCCTCCCCCACCCCCCACCTGGGTCCCTAGCTCCCTGAGCTGAGCCAACCCCCGCCTCTCTGCAGGGGAGGCTGCGGGGGCCCCGGCGACCTCCAAGGTCTATGGCACCGAGCACAACAGCACCTTCCTGGAGTGCCGGCCCAAGTCCCCCCAGGCCACCGTGCGCTGGCTCCTGCAGAGGCCAGGGGCCCAGGAGCCCGACCAGGTGAGCAGGACGCACCTCTGCCGGCTTCCCTGGGAGACTCAGCCCTGACCCCTCGGGGCAGCCCCTCTCAACCACAGCAAAGGCTGCATTAGACCTTGGGGTGCGCATTCCTGTCGGGGGGGGGGGGGGCTGGGATCCATCCAGCGACAGGGCGCTCACTACTTGCCGAGGCTCAGAGCTGGTCTCTGAGAAATGAGTGGTTGGCAGCATGGAGACCGAGGGGGCTCTGGGGTGGCCACAAGACTACGCCACCCCCTTGCTTATATACTTGGCTCCTTTTTGCCAAGGTCTTGGCCCTCCTCAGGCCCAGGCTGGGCCCCTGGCTACTGGCCTTTGTCCCCCTGCCTTCCCTCTCCCCCAGATATAACACACACACACACACACACACACACACACACACACACACACACGCCCAGCCCACACTTCCTCTCTGGAGTCCAGCTGTCTGCCAGGCCCTCTCCTCCCTGCTCCGGAAAGATCTGTCAACTCCAAGGATGCCTTTAGTCTGGGACTGGGGTGAGGTGGGTGGGAGGGGGGGTAGCGCAGGCTTGAGGAACAGCTCCCACGGGTAGGGAGGGAAGGGAGTGGGTCGATTACAGGAGGGGCTCCCCCCCTGGGAACTGGGGGCAGTCAGCCTGGGTCCAGCTGCTGGGCTGGCATGGAGAAGGCCCCCAGGAAGGAGCGGGCGAGGAGGGAGTGGGAGGCTGTGCAGCCTGCCTGCACAGATGCAGAGAGAGGAAAAGCCCAGAGTCCTAGTTGCCCCCCCCACCAGGGGCCCGGGCAAAACCCACTCCCGCCCCCCCACACTCAGGAAAGGGCGCTCGGCCTGCCTCTGCGTCAGGGCTACAGACTGGGATGTGAGCTGTGTGTGTGTGTGTGTGTGTGTGTGTGTGTGTGTGTGTGTGTGTGTGTGTGTAAAGGTGTAGCACTGCCCCAGGAAGACCGCCAACACCCCCTTTCCCCGGGGAATCTGTGCCAGGGCCGCCATGGTCAAGTGGAGCTGGTGGCCCTGTCCTGGGAGAGGAGGAAAGAGGGACTGGCCTGCAGGTCAGCTGGCACATGGTCAAGAGGGCAGGCTGCCGGTTTAGTCTAGAGAAGGGGCAAGCTGGCCATCCCTGAGGAGGGTAAACTGAGGAAAGCAGGGGGCAGACAGGGGTGTGTGTGTGTGCCCCACCCTCACCTCCTCCGCCCTCCTGCCCTGCAGGTGAAGACGGACGTGCGCATCCTGCAGACGGAGCAGGGGCTGCTGTTCCGCCGGCTCAGCCGCTTCGATGCGGGCACCTACTGGTGCACCACCCAGGAGCACGGCTTCACCCAGACTGTGCTCCGCCTGGCCCTGGAGGTGATCCCGGCCGCAGCCCTGCACAGCCTGCTCCCTCGGGAGTCCAAGCCGGAGAGGCCCCCAGTGTGGGGCCGCGGGCCCGCCGCCACCCCATCCCGAGCCTGGTACAAGGACATCCTGCAGCTTATCGGCTTTGCCAACCTGCCTCGGGTGGACGAGTACTGTGAGCGTGTGTGGTGCCCGGGCGGCGGGGGACAGCGCTCAGGTGGCCCCCGGAGCCGGGGCAAGGCGGGCAAGGCCAAGAGCTGGGCGGGGCTGGACCTGGGTAAGAAGGCCCAGAGCTGGGCACAGGTGGAGCGCAACCGGACGCCCCGGGAGGTGGAGGCCACGTAGAGGGGCCAGGGATGGGGCCGGGGGCGGGAGGGGAGGCAGTCTCACCCACCCAGCTGGGGCAGAGAGGTCAGGGCCCCGACTCCTCTTGGAGATGGGAATCTCTCCTCGCACCCCCAGTGGCTGCCTGCAGAATGGTCCGGGGGGGCCCCAAGAGGAGCTCTGAGTGTGTTCCCTGCCCTCCTCCCCCACCCTTGCTCCCACCACTGGCTGTCCCAGCACCCTCTGGCCGCTGGCCATCCCAAGGGACCCCCATTTGTTCTCAGAAGTGCCTGACTTCCGGAGCACGCTTCCGGTGGTGCCCAGAGGGGAGGGGGCTGCAGTCTTTCCCAACCCGGAGAACAATGGCCATTCTAAGTGACCCTCTGTGGGCGGGCAGGCGAGTGGGCGGCCCAGGTACCGAGGGCCCTGCGAGGAGGGGCCTCCCCTGGGGGAGAAGGTGGCAAGCTCTCCTCTGCCCTGTCCATAGCCTCTCTCCACATTAGAACACAGAAAGACAGACTTCTGGCCCCAGACCCCACCTCATGCACCTGAGGGCCTAACTTCCGGAGCTTGGCCCTGAGCTGCTGGGCCAGACTTTCTGAAAGGCCACCCTCCTGCCGGGAGTCTCACCCCCCATTGCCCCACCTCCAGCATATTCTTTGATGAGCTGGGGAGGGTCGGTTAGGGACACCTCCCCCACACACTCACACTCTTACTCACACACACCTCTGGACTGGAAAGAGCTGGGCACGTGGGTCTGCCACTGTCCACACAGGGGGCTGGGAAGCCCCGGAGAGAGAGGGAATGTGGAAGACCCCCCTGGATGGTCAAGGAGACCCCAGAAATGTCCTCGGCACACCGGGTGTCACCGAGTAGCTCAGGGACCTCGGGGAGGGGCCGCGGGGTGTGTGCAGCCGTTTGCAGCCTGGATGTGCTGGTTTCTGCTGGAGGGCTGGGCAGTGGACAGGAGGAGTTGGTCATGAAGACTTTCCATCTTCTGGGGGAAATGTGCCGCGGCCCCAGGTCCTGCTGGTTGTGGAGTGCAGCGGGTACCTGCGTGCCTCTGCCTGGGTGCGGAGAGAGGGTCCTGGGACTTGGGGGGCGGGGGGAGGAGGAGTTCTTCCAGCAGGCGGTGAGGCCAGGGCAGGGGCTGGAGATGCCCTTGGTGGGAAAACCAAGATGAGACAGGAGAGGGCAAACTCAAGCCAAGGCTGCCTCTGCCTGGGGCTGCCTGCCAAGTCACCCCTCTCCTGCTCTGCTGCTGCTGGTGGGCGGGTGCAGCTCGCAGGACCCGTGGCCCAGGAGAACCGTGCACCGGCCACGCTCCAGGCCTTTCTGGCTGCCAGCAGACAGAAGTGGGGGTTAGAAGGGAGAGGAGCGGCGGGGCCTGGACCCAAAGAGCTGCAGAGACCACTCAGGGTGTGGCCAGCCCCGCCTCCTCTCCAGGCACCAAGCCTCCAGTCCCCCCCCCACCCATTAGGCACAGGCGCCCCAGGCACCCAGCTCTGCCCTTTGGGGATAAGCACCCTGCGAAACGGAGGGCGATGGGAGGGTCGGGCAAGGGTGGGCATTGTAGCCTCTCCCTGCGTGGTATGGTGTGTGGCGTGCGCCCAGGAAGGCGCTCCGAGACTCAGTCTGTGTGGATTCTCCGTCTGTCCTCGTGTGCTGAGACCGACCCTGTTGCCCAGTTCCTGGTCTTTACCAAACACGAGGGAGGTTGCTGTTTCTGTCGCCGAACCACGGGGCCTCCCTGCTGGTGCGGAATCCACCCGGCTCCGGACAGACACGCCCTTTACACAGCAGCGGCGGCATCTCCAGGGGATCTCTGCGTTTCCCCACTAAACCCGGGGTGCCATCTTCAAAGACCCCTCCCACCCATCCCCGGAGGGAGAAGGTTTGGCCAGGTGGTCGTTTCTGGACTGGGAGGAAGGGGGTTATCCGGGGAAGGCCGGAACCCCCGGCCTTGTCTGTGAAGCTGAGCTCACCCATTAAACTAGGAAAACCCTGCCCTCTGGGCTTGTGAGACGGATGTTCTCGGAACTTCGGGCTCTGGTGTCAGGAAAGAAAAACTCGGAAAAAAACCCACGGGGGCAAAGGGTAGCTGAGCACGTAGGCATCTCCGCTCTTTCCTCGAAACACCAGCGTGTGTGTGTGTGTGTGTGTGTGTGTGTGTGTGTGTGTGTGTGCCCCTGCCTGCATCCTGGCCACATTCCAAAGTCTATTAAAGCCACCGTGCTCGACCTGGGAGGGCAGCCTGCTGTGGGGGCTGCGGCTTCTGGGGAGGAGGGGGCCTGGCGTTTGACCCAGTGAGCAGAAGACCACCCAGACCAGGCTGCTGCCCCAAGCCTCTACCGGCCCCTCCTGTTGCCGGGGTCTCCCTGGTGCCATCTCCCTGTACAGGCTCCCAGTTCCTCTGGCCTGGCCTGCGACCCCACGGGCATCCTCCCCTGGGCTGGAAGGGGCCTCGGGGAGAGGGACCCCCAGGGCCACACCTCCCCATGGCCTCCAGTGAGCAGCCATCCCGGGAGGCCATTCAGGATAACGCCCTTAGCCAGTGGTCCTGCGATGCCTCCCCACTCCACCCCTTCCCACATAACTGCATGACTCTTAGGGGCCCACGTGTCCTCCAGACCTGGCGGGAGGGGGGGGGGGTCCTGCCATGCTCTGACCTGGGACAGGGAGCAGCACACGTGTGCCACATTGTGAGAAGCACCCTTGGGGAGAGCACTGACCAGATGAAAACCCCGGAGGCTGGGCCCACTAGCACCGGAGGGCCTGCCCCCATCATACGCACAGAACAGCCTGTCCAGGCCTGTCGCCCCAGAGTCAGGCCGCCAAGCCACTGCCTGCTGAGTGACCCGGGGCTTGCCTTCTGTCCCTGCTCCTGGGTCCTGTCCTCTGACACCCAGCCTGCCTCCCCAAGCCTCTGCCGGCCCCTCCCGTGTCTGGCTCCCAGGGCTGGCCGGCCCCTCCCGTGTCTGGCACGCAAGCCTGTGGCTGCCCTGCGGGCCAGCCCACTCATGGAGGGGGGACCGGATCCCGACACTTCCTCAAAGTTTCTTGACGCCCAGGCCAGCCTGGGTCAGGCCCCACATGCCCCTGAAAGCCCCGCGCTGGAAGAACGGACAGGAGGAGCAGCAGGAGCCTGGCCCGTGCCCCCGTCGGCTGGCAGGGGCTCAGCCTGCACCTGCGGCTGGGGAGGCCGGAGCTCACGTACAGGCCTCCCCGCTTGGCCTTGGCCAGGCCTCCGGGGCCGGAAGGTCCCCTCAGATCCAGGAGCAGTTGTTCAGAAACCGCAGATCCCCTCACCCAAGACCCGGTGCAGGGGCCGCCACAGAGGAAGCCCAGCACCCACGGAGGGAGGCTGGATCCCTGGGGTCCTCCACCGCCGCTGCCAACTCAGCCCTGGGGTGAGGGTGGGTTGGTGGGGCTTTGGCTCCTGTCCCCATAAGGCGCCCTGGCTCGTGGGGCCCCACCCAGGCTCTGTTTCCGGACTCGCCCACCGCTGCTCGAGGGCGCTCGAGGGCACAGGAGGTGGGGTGAGGACAGTGGTGGCCCTGCACCCACTTGCCCCCGGCCGGCCCCCTACCTGCCCTTGCCTTAAGCACCCCCGTTGGGTGGGCCCTTTCCCTCAGGTGAGACCTTTCACTTTCCCTGCTGGCTTTTCATTCCGGAAACTCCTGGTTCCTCCTGCTCCGTGGAGCAAGGGGCACGGGCAGTGCAGCCAAGTCCCCTGGAGGCCCCTCCTCACCCACAGCCTGCCCTCAGGGGCCCTGCTGCCACTCCTGACCTGGGGAGCCCCTGCCCGCACCCCAGCAGTCAGTCACTGTCCCGGGCAGAGAAAGGAGCCCACGACGGTCCCTTCGTGCCTCCACACAAGCCCTGCCATCAGCCCGTCACTGGAGCCCCGCTGGCCTGTGGAAGGACAGAGCAGGCTTGACCAGCAGCCTGGACAGAGAAGGCTTGACCAGCAGCCTGCTCTGTGTGGCCATGATCTCATCGGCTCTCCCTGCCCTGATAAGAATCTGGCGCCATTTCCTGTGGGCCAAGGGTCTGGGACAATGGTGTGAACCGCTGGCCAGCCTGGAAAGGAGAGCCAACACGGAGGCTGGACCAGGGCAGGGTCGTCCTGCGACCAACTGGAGGACCTGTTTACAGACCCAGGACTTCCAGCGGAGGCTCACAATAGGGAATTGTCTTGGCCTCCGGCTGTGCCCCTGCAGGGCTCTTGGGGGTGAGGATGACTTTGATGGTCTCCGGTGGGCGGACACTGCTGTCCATCCACGAATAACTTCCTGTTTACCAGGGGCGCTTGCCAGGCAGGCCTGAGAAGCCCGTTTACAGCCAGGATAAGGGAAGAGCCGCTTCCATGTGTGCCTCCGCCGGAGGAGGTCTGCTAGGGAGAGCGGGAGAACGGGGCGTGGAGTTGTGTTTATTCTCTGAGGAGCACAGTCCTTCCGCTGTGGCCTCCAACTGCTGTGCGGCTTTTTATACACATCTGTTGCCGACAGCCCTCTGGGGTGGGGCCCCTCGCACCTGGGGCCCCTGCGAGCTGCTACTCACACTCAGGCAGCCCCGGAGGGCCCGGGGGTGGACATGGGGCCCCCTTGGAGGCGCTGCTGCTTCCAGAGGCCTCTGCCTGGCCTCAGGATCACCCCCTGGAAGCCCTGATCTCCACATGTGCATGCGTGTGCGTGTGTACGAATGAACTGGTGTGCACATGAATATGTGTGCATGTGTGTGTGCGTGTGTGTATGCACCCACCTGTGTGGTGGGAGGCTGGGGTACAAGAGCTGCCGAACCTCGTTGCCCATAAGCCTTGGGCCAGGCAGGGGGGTGCCAGCTGGTGCTAGGGGGCCCACCTTGGTCCAGGGGAGGCTGAAGGAAGTCCTACGTGAGTTTCACCTGCAGTGGGAGTGCCGCTCGTGGTGTTTACATGGATCTCTAAGGAGCCCCCAGCTGCTAACTGTAAGGTCATAGGTTTGAGCCCACCAGCCAATCCCTGGGAAAACCCCACCAAGGGTACACAGCCCGAGGGGACAGTTCTGTCCTGTCCAGGATCAGAATCGTCTGGATGACGCTGGGTGCATCCTGGTCTCCATACTTACGAACAGACTGGGGCAAAGTGTTCGGAACCGTTAGCGAGCAGCCCCACGTAATCCCCACGTGGAAGCAGGCTGTCATAAACGGTTGGCACCTGAAGGTTTATCATTGTCCCTGCCAGCACGTTCATGGTGCCCTCTGGTGTTTGGCGGCTGAAAAACAGGCTTACTGAGCATGTCCCTGGGAGACCAGCCCCTGGAGAAGGGCGTCGTGCTGGTAAAAGCTGAGGGGCAGCGAGGTAGAGGAACACCCTTGACAAGAGGGTGGACGCAGTGGCCGAGCTGTCAGTCAATACGAGGGGGGGCAGGACGAATCAAACAGATAAGAGCCTGCCCACAAGGGACAGGAGAGACCGGGCCACAGCCGCAGGACAGATGGAGAACGGCTCGCACCTGCACCACTGCCTAGACATGCAGAGGCGGCCCTCGCAGCGGG